GGGGGGGGGGGGAAATCAGTGGAACTTGAATGCTGGAACAAAAGATTCAACGAGTATGCAAATGAGAAACACCGCGATGATTCTCTATAGGAAATCTCATTCTAGCATTGACAATACCTATTAACGGGGAATACTACCCCGTTCCGCTTTCGAATTACGAAACTTCCGACAATTCGCTTTGTCTTCGTCCACCGGCTCGTGATTAAGGTGTATACGAGAGGTGGCGTGCAATTTCGAGAACAATCATCAGATTTAACATAGCTCGTGGAGGAACCCTGCGAATATTACATTCATTATTTTTTTTTTCCTTCTCTCTTTCTCTCTCTCTCTCTCTCTCTCTCTCTCTCTCTCTCTCTCTCACTCGATATTCGGTGGCAATAATTGGAGTACGTTGTTCCCCGAAATCACCTTCCTGCCCCAAGCAATTTCGTTATTAATGAAAGTAATTAGAAGTTCTTGCTTCGTCACGTTTCGACGTTATAAATATTTCAATTTTACTTCCGGAGGAGGGAGAGAGAAGGAAAAGGATGATCAATTAAATTAATTTTTCGAGTGTTGGAACAGGCGTCGTCTAAGGATTTTTCTCTTCGATCATCTCGTAAATGAAAATCAATTTACACTCGTAGAATGATCGCGCACGATGTCTTAATAATATACCTTGAGACCAGACACTACCACGCTCGTGTGGGAAACGAGGTGTCGGAGAAATCGATTTCCCTGTTTAAAGAGCCGACGAGATGAAATATTAACTCGAAATCCGAATTGTTTGACGACTGAAATTGTAATCGTTAACCGATCGAAAGGGCCGCCAGAGTTTCTGTTTGAATAATCTGGGACGAGAAAGCACGTTTTTTGTAAATATTCAACGCGTAATGGCGATTCTCCGCATCGCGATAATTATTTAAACTTGTTATTCTTGTTAAACGAATATAATTTTCGTGCAAACGAAACTATTCATGACGCTAATGAATGGAAGGAAGAAGAATTGAAAAGTTAAGTGAACTGCATATTTTTGTACATATAAAAATTAATATTCTACGAGATACATATTGTGGCACGAAGTAATTTTTCAAATAATTTATAAATAATTTGTTTACGTATCGAACCTTAAATATTGAAATTTGTCAATTTGTAAAAATTGGTCAATCTTCGTTTAAAACATTCAAAAATAAATAAAGGAAAATAGTGATAATAATTCCACGTATTTTTAAAAAGTATTTGTATTCTTTTAAAATGTACATCGAAAGATGCAAGATAAATTACGTATCTTCTCCGATCAAACATCGTCTCGTTTTCTCAATTTTTGGATCAATTGGAACGTTAGTTTATTTACTCTCTCGATGCGATATTTATCATCGCTTGCTATTAAAAAAAAAACAAAAAAAAAAGAAAGAAAGAAAAACTTTAAAGGGAGATAATTCGAACGATATGATTCTCGTCTCGATCGAGAATTGACGCGATCGAATGCTCGAAGATAGGAAGAAAAATCGAAAGATATGGCCAAGAAGAGGATCCATCGAATATCTAATTAGACGCGATCTATTCTTGACACAGTTCGTTAACTCGACACTCGTTAAGTCAACGTGCATTCTAACGAAGTAATTACTCGATCCGGGGGTTGTTTCTTAAGAAGGGGAGTGTCGCCGTCGCGCGCACCCCCGGCGAGTGGCGTCATTAAAAAAACATAGACCGATATTCCTCGTTTATTTAGGGCGGGGAGGGAGGGAGCTTTAACGAGGGAAAATCGTGTGAATGGGGCCGATGCAAGCCCCGCGTCCAGACGGCGCGAGATATGTTCCGGGGGAAAGCGGAAGTGGCGCGCTGAGTAGCGAGTTTTGGATAATTGGAAGCGCGGCGCGGAACTGAAAATCCGCTTTTCGACGCGACAATTATCGAAGAAGGGTGAAAAAAAATCGGATTCGTTCGAATTTATACGCTCGTCCGATTTATACGATCGCGACTCGAATTTTTAAGGTAACGAGAGTTAGATTAGAAGAATTTTTAATTCTATGAGCCATGATTCCTTTTCTTTTTCTTTTTCTTTTCAAAAAAGGAATTAAAAATTTTTCTACACTATTTCTAAGAAGAAAATTCTCGTAAGAATAGAAGTTTAGAATTGATGTTGGAAATATGTTTAATAAATCATATTGCTTGTTATATTTCGTAAGATGAAATTGATAAATTGATAAGAAGTTGTTATAATCGAGTGAATTTCTAATTATGAGTTAAATCTGCAGGATTAATAATTGTGTCTCGAAAGTTGAGTTAAGATGGAGACAAACGCTAGAAGAACGACGATATAATACGGTTTCAACACCGTATATAAGAATTTTCTCAATTTTATCCTCTCACACCGAGGCTCATCCCGGCAAAGTTACGCTGAATCCGAATTTCAAATCGATGAGGCGCGCGCTGCTCCACGGACCGCGGTCTCATGAATTTATTCAAGGTGGCTTATAAGAGTTTCTTGGAAACAGAGAAATTTCGCTTTTCGACAAGGGTAGCTTGGTGGTTTCAGTGGCGTGTAAATGGGAATCTTGTTGTAGCTCGTGAGGTTACGAGCGAAACGTTCCCTCGAACGACTCGAAAAATAACCCTCGATGCGAGGCTAAAGAAACAGAGTGCAAGTGCGAAATA